AACTTATTCAAAGCGGTCAGTTCTCCGTCAATCCACTTCCTCAATCAGGAATTAATTTAACGTATTGTTGTAATAAAATAATTGATCACTGTGAAGCCCCAACTACCATGGAAGATAAATGTTCTAGTTCTCATAGTTTCTATCTAAAATATGGTCGTGATCATAAACATTGTCTTAAAAATCACTTCTGTGCTGAATGCAATAAGAATTTATATCCAGATATTTGTCAATGGAATGAAATGAATATTGCCGACATAAAAACGATACCGCGCTTGGCATTTTTAATAGAGATGGGGAATAAAGATAGTGTCAGCGTAAAATCTTATGGCACACGAAATATGATGCCTTGGTCAAGTGCTGAATGTAAATCACCTCTAAACGATGAATTTGGTGTAGACATTACTGATTGTACCCTTCAGGAATGTCAAAAAAACATTCAACTTACTGATGGCAAGTGTCTCTTAAAGAATAAAATCTTTTGTTTCGTCATTATTGCTAACTTATCACTGATTGACCAGGATATTAATATGGACAAGTTATCTGGAATATTGTCTAAGCAAGGGGTAGCTACGTTAAGTCAAATGAATTTTACTCTTGGATCGTTCAATACCACATTCTACAAAACAACTAAGTTAATACATTGCAAGCCGCAATTTGTAAACAAAACAAATGGGGTTAATATTTTGCAATTTCGTGAAATATATCTAGCATCTGTAGCAATAAGCCTTTCTAAAACTGAAATTTCTGGTAATATTTCCATTTGTGCTGAGATCAATCTAATGGCTTGCTCGGGTACACTTTTCTGCTCCAGGTATCATAGTCTTATAATATCACCACATCCGACCATAAATAAAGGGTCCAGCAAATTGATTGGTAATTATGTATTGGCTGTTGTTGTATTGATGAAGTTTATGGCCCCAATAATCGGGCGGTAGGGGTACTTGATAGCCTGTGCCCCAATCCCGTTGTAAATAGAAGAGAGCCCCAATATGATTAAAACCAAAGATCCTATTTCGTTTCGTTTTTTATAGTTCAAAATTTCTTTTTACTTTCTTCACTACACTAGGATTTCTAAGATTTGGTATATAACAGGCGTTCTAGCACTCGGCAAACCTCAGCAGATTCCAGTACCCTACATCTAGCCTCGGCTGTATGACGAAGTCCGCCATTGGAACTACTTTCAAGTTCCGGGATTACCAACGGCGTTGCCCATGACGACGCCCTTGTGGAATGTTTTATCATGCAAATATTTCAAAGTTTGAAGCTGTTTTTCTTTCAAGTTTGTCCGATTTTCTTCAAACAATGACAACTGAAAATTCTACACACGCATCGAACGACGCAATTTTAATAACTTCTTTTTAAAAACGGCAAGTTTTCCTAATAAGTAAACAAATGCCGCATCGGAATTGTATAGGCGTAGGTACATATCACTTGCCGCCATACAGCCGAAGCTAGATGCAGAGTAACGGAATCTGTCGAGGTTTGCCGAGTGGCGTTCTAGTTGACGTGAAGAATTAGACAATGGAACGGTCTGTTACGGCGAGTTCCTGGCGTGCCCTGCACCGAACTGTGCGTAAACCCACAGAAACCTAAACGCTGATTGATTAATCAATGTCTTACGTCATAGGTCAATAACCGCTGGTATGAGTCCTGAAGCGACCTGCCAGTACAACTGGTCAGATCTTCATGTAGTGTAGGTCATCGAAAGTATAAAAAACGAAAACAAAATATAGATCTGTATTTTAATCAGATTAAAAATGGCCATATAGAAATCACAATATGATAGTCTCAACATGATCAAATGCTTCTTGTATAAATGTATATCCAATGACTCTTGTTGATCAATACCAAAATAAATTTATTTATTGAAATTTTAGTAGAATTTATTAGTGTTATGTCCAGATCTGTATATTATGGTGACTGATTGGTATCATGTCGTCATGTCGTGGTGTCATCCTTCATAAGGCGACAACCCGACATCACGACATTTTAACCCGACATCACGACATTTTTAACCCACAATACATTTTCACCCGATACAACAACATTTAAAATGTCGTAATGTCGCAATGTCGGGTTGTTGTGGTGTCGGGTTGTCGTGGTGTCGGGTTATCGGCCATATTCCTCTCAATATTATGATTATATACACTGATCCTGGTGTTGGTCAAGAAAGTTCCCCGCTATTTTGCAGCGTGGTTTCTTCCTGTCAGTAGTGCAGGACAAAGGGTCGAGCAAAGTACAATGTCTAGTTGTGTAGATGGGACACAAACTAAGCTCCTGTGTACACATTGGCGTGCACTTAAAAGAATCCTTCACAGTTGAATTTCGATGAAGAAATGCCACGGATCATTGAAAATTTCCGTCATAGCACTCAGTATAGCGTATGCCTATCTTCAATAGCCCGATTGGTGCAGAAAAGTAGGAAAATAGAATGAAATGAAATTGTGTTAAACGTCCTTCTGTTCTGCTCCGACTGGGCTAATGAAGACGGACATACGCTATACAGTGTACTGTGAGGGAAACTTTGCCCGGATAGCAGCGCTACGGCCTACTCTTATATTGAATTCCAACTGTCAGGGGGTCGTTTACTTTCTCGGTAATATGTACACGGAACCTCGATTTTTCGTCCCATCCAAAAGACTATACGTTATCCCCTGTCAGGCCCTCCGTCCTGTGCCTCTGTAAAGTGGAATCACGCCGGAAAATTCCCGATGAGCTTTCTCGGTCAACGCAGTGATCGAACAGGAGACCTCAACGTTAGCGAGCCAACGTCTTTTTCATTGAGTCACCATGACTACCAGAAAAGTAGGACATTAAACCCCATTTCCGGAGTAATTCCTCTTTGACAGGGGGGGGGGGTGACAAAGGATAACGTATAGTCGTTCAGATGGGACGAAAAACAAACGTCCCATTTACATATTGGCGTGCACGCAAAAGACTCCCTGACAGTTGGGATTTAATATAAGAGTAGGCCGTAGCGCCGCTATCCGGGTAAAGTTTCCCTCATATAGTACACTGTATACGGTATGTCCGTCTTCATTAGCCCAGTCGGAGCAGAACGAAATGAAATGAAATGGAGTTTAAGGTCCTACTGTTCTCCACCGACTGGGCTAATGAAGACGGGCTTTACACCATTCAGTGTGTTATGAAGGACATTTCGCCCGGTTTTGCCAGGACAGCGGTGCTAGGGCCTACTCTTATATCGAATTCCAATTGCCAAGGGATCTTTTACGTGCACTCAAATGTATACACGGGACCTTGGTTTTTCGTCCCATCCGAACGACTAGACTGTTGTCCTAGTCAGACCCTCCTCCCTGCACCCCTGACAAGGAGAAACCACGCCGGAAAATATGATGAACTTTTTCGGCCAACACCGGGGACGAACCTGCGGTCACGTCCAGGTTAACGAGCCAGCTTCCTACTCATTCAGCCACTGTGGCCCCCGGAGCAGAACAGTTGGACGTTAAACTCCATTTCTGAACCAATCGGACTATTGAAAATAGGCATACGCTATGCAGAGTGATATTACGGAAATTTCCAACGGACCGTGGCATTTCAAGAGAGAGAGAGAGAGAGAGAGAGAGAGAGAAGGGGTTGAACGTCCACTCGACACAAACTAGGTCATTTCGGGACTAGCGTGGCATTTCAAATATGAAAGATTCTTTATGTGCACGCCAGTGTGTACGCAGGAAGTTGTTGGTTTTTTTGTTGTCCTATCTACAATACTAGGCACTGTTCTTTGCCAGCTAGGTCCTCTCCTGCACTATCGACATGGAGAAACCGCGCTGCAAAATCCCGGGGAGTAATATGTATTAAGAGGAATATGGCCGGTAACCCGACATCACGACAACCCGATAACCCGATATCACGACACCACGACAACCCGACATCACGACATTTTAACCCGCCAATACGACATTCTTACGCTACATTACGACATTTTTAATGTCGTGGTGTCGGGTGATACCAATCAGCCACCATAGTTTATAATGTCTGCTCAAAACAAGGGTACGTATAGACCCGAGAAAATTTGGTCTTCCTGGAATTGCACGCAAAAAAAAGAAAATTGTCCAACACAGCGAGTGACAGTTATGTATTCACTGTCTGGTTATAATATGAATCAAATAACTTGACAAACATCAATTACCTTCTCTTTATAAAAGTTAAACTACTGTTAATTATATATTATTTGGGAGCTATTAGTCGTGGTTATGAAAACTGTTGGGTATCGTTGTACGTACGATGGTCCGAATTTTGACTCGGAATATTACCGTTCTTTCACTTTAAAATATTGAAAAATTTGCGACGTTTAGGATGAGAGCGCACCCCATTAATATGATTGTGCTAACTTTTACTAATAATATTTAGAAAGCTTATTCAGTTATCTTTCAGAATATATATAGCTGGATGCTCCGAATTTTGTACGATGATCCGAATTTGGACATCGAAAAAAATACTGGTCTATCTTTAGATTTAGAACATTGAACAATTGGCTATGTTCAGGTTGAGAGCGCACCTCTTTAATATGATTGTGCCAACTTTTACTAATAATATTTGAAAAGCTTATTTAATTACTTTTTAGAATATATTTAGTTGGATCATCAGAATTTTGTACGATGATCCGAATTTTGACACGGGATTTAACGGTCTTTCCCTTTAAATATTTTTAAAAATTAGCCATGTTAAGGTTGAGAGTGCACCCCTTTAATATGACTGTGCCAACTTTTACTAATAATATTTGGAAAGCTTATTTAATTACCTTTCGGAATATATTTAATTGGATGTCCAGAATTTTGTAAGATACCGGTAATGCGAAATTAAACCTCTGTTCTGAGCTAAAGGAATGGATAAAAATAATATATTCTACTTTCATTTGATAGACGTAACGTTGGATTTTATTGGTTGATAAAAGTAGATGAGTTTGGGCGACTGTTGTCTTTATTCTGAATAGGTTGCCAACGAACAGCCCATTTGTGTTCGGTAAGTTGAGTTGTCTCCCTTGGAACATTTTCATATTTTAGTACCGTGAAATGCTGATGAAATTTGGATGCAACTTGACCGGAAGCACGTGTAATAACAAGAAATATGTCAACAATGATTGTAAACACATTGGGTTAGATTTTACCATAGAGACTGAGTGAAAACAGTAAGACGGACTGATGGTATAACACTGCTAGACTGGTGTCATGGCTAGAATCGTCAAGTTATTGTCTCTTCTGGAAGGGAAAGGTAAATCTAAATCCAAATGATTGTATTAATGATTTAAAGTAGCTAAGTCCGTAACTCAATATCATCCAAAATCTTCGACATTGAAAACACGAATTTTTTTTTCAATTTAAATCAGCATTTATGTTGTGATCTTACCTGGAAAAGATGGGCTTCTGATATCCAATATTTAAGACAAAATAAACATTTTACCATTGGTACACGAATCGTGTACCATAATGCGTTTCAGCGCCATTTGTAACAAGGTGCTCAAAGAATGAGGCTAGACATATTCCACAAGTCATGTCAAACGGTGATATCATATTCTTATTTGGAGAGCATGAGCAATAAACAATATCGGTGTTGACTGGAATAACCAGACGCTAGAAACTTACTTGCGGTTGAGACTTCAGGCGTATTTCAACGAACATAACTGATGACAATTCACAGTAAAACGGACACGATTGAATGTAAAACAGTTTATATAAATTCATATTACATTATTATATGTGTTGCGACCCATTTGTGCCAATTTCTAGGTCCAAAATATTAGCGATTTAGCTCCTTTAATTATAGGTTTTTTTTTTATAAATCTCCTTCACCAGTCTTCTTCTCCGTCTGTCTCTCACTCTCAGTGATGATGTCCGAATGGTTAGCATGTGCACGCTGTTTCATAAAGTCTGTCATGGTAACTGGCGTGGTTTCGAATCCCCGGTTGTACATAACAAACAGTGACGATGGCCGAATGGTTAGCATGTGCACGCTGTATCATAAAGTCTGTCATGGTAACTGGCGTGGTTCCGAATCCCCGGTTGTACATAACAAAGAGTAGGGTTGCTGACTTGCTCTGTCCAACTTCGTGGGTTTTCTCTGGGTCCTCCGGTTTCCTCCCACTGCTAAAACACCTCCTATGTGCAAGCGAATTATTGAAATTAAATTAAACCATATGTTAGTCCCGAAATGACCTAGTTTGTGTTGAGTGGACATTAAACCCCATTTCTCTCTCTTTCTTTTATTTCAGAACAACATTTATTACAGAAGTCTGCATCAGACGTGTTATTGTCTGGTGGTGTGATAGCTGTACCAACCGATACCATATATGGTATTGCTGCGTTATCACAGGATGTAGAAGCTATAAATAGAATCTATAATATTAAACAACGTGATTTACAGAAACCAATCGCAATCAGTGTCGGCGATATTGACGATATTTACAGGTAATGGTAATCCTACTTTTTCTCGGGGTAGGGGGTAGCCGAACGGTTAACATATGTGCGTTGCATCATAAGGTCTGTCATTAAAAGTCAAATGGTTTCGATTCCCCAGTTGAACGTGACAAGGTGTAGGGTCGCCCGCCAACCTCTTGGGTTTTCTCCGGGAGCTTCTGCCCCACTGTTGAAGACCCCTACGGGCAAGCGAATTATTGAAATATCCCCCCCCTCCCCAATTCAACCCAGGGGACTATAAAAGTTGGCCTGTAATTGTGCAGTGTATTATGTATTTTTAGTGCTGGGTATTGCGACTGCAGTCACGATACAATACATATTGCGATACTTTTGCTTCGATACGATTCATATTGCGATTTATAACCAGGACAATATTTACCAAGAAAATAACAGGATGAATGAATAGTTTTATTTTTATTGGAGTCACTAAAACCCGGAAAGAAAATTACAATTATTATTCAGGTCCAAATAAGGACCAAAACAATTTAAGGGAGAGAGAGAGAGAGAGAAATGGGGTTTAACGTCCACTCGACACAAACTAGGTCATTTCGGGACTAACATATGGTTTAATTTTATTTCAATAATTCGCGTAGGGGTCTGTAGCAGTGGGAGGAAACCGGAGCACCTGGAGAAAACCCACGAGGTTGGACAGGCGACCCTACTCCTTGCCACGTACAACCGGGGATTCGAAACCCCGCCAGTCGACTCAATGACAGACTTTATGATACAGCGAGCGCATGCTAACCATTCAGCCATCCAACCCCCCACAATTTAAGGGTGTTGTGTACCTATGGATAATGTATGAAATGAAATGGGGTTTAACGTCCTGCTGTTCTGCTTCGAAGTGGGCTAATTAAGACGGGCATACACGATATAGTGTGCTATGAGGGAAATGTTGCCCAGACAGCGGCACTATGGCCTACTTTTATATCAAATTCCAACTGTCAAGGGATTTTTTATGTGCACAGCACGACATTGTATACATGGGACCTCGGTTTTCTATCCCATCTGAATGACTAGACAGCTGTTCTTGTCAGGCCCTCCATCCTGAATAACTGACAAGGGGGAAACTACGCCGGAAAATCTGAATTATCTTTCTCAGCCAATGCAGGGATCGAACACCCGACCTCCAGGCTAGCGAGCCAGCGTCTTACTCACTTAGCCACCGTGACCCCATAAATAATTATGCTTTTAATGGATAATGTGTGACATGTAGAATTAAAAGTGACAGGTTACTTATTGATGCAACAAAAAAAACATTAAAAAAATAATTTAAAAAAAAATTGATTCAATACGCGAATCGTGATTCGTTGATTTAATGTTATATCGTGCTAGTATTTTTGTTGCTATGACAACAATGTGTTTTTTTTTTCAGGTGGAGTAAAGTAACGGTGAATAATGATTTGTTATCAGAATTATTACCAGGTCCGGTTACCGTGGTGATGGAAAGATCTGAGGAATTAAATCCACGACTAAACCCAGATACGAAGCTGATCGGTGTACGCATTCCCGATCACAAGTTTATTCGTAGCTTAGCACAACGATGTCGACAACCGATAGCTCTAACCAGTGCTAATATTAGTTATGATAGGAGCTCTCTATCAGTAGAGGTAAGAAAGACATTAGTTATAATTTTTTCCAGCGCAGTTTCCCCTTGTCAGTGTTGCAGGACGGAGGGCCTGACATGGGCAGTGTCTAGTCGTTTGGATGTAAATTTATCATAAATTATAATGTGATTTATCACCCAATAATACATTCTACAGTAGATATCGCTTGTGTGATATATTTCATAATCTACTGCGATATCTCCTTACATTTATTTATTTGTGCATGTAAGAAGGGATTGGGTGATAAATAAAATCTCCTACTCGTCTCTTTTGGTATAAAAAATATCAAAAAAGACTCGTAGGAGAATCTCTGTGTAAATTTATCATAAATTATAATATGTTATAAATTTATCATGAATTATAATGTGATGTAAATTCTATGACATTAGATAATGAGTATCAGGTTTATAACTGTTTAATTTCTCAAAAGATGTTGAGTAATTAACAGACTGGTTAATTACTGAACACTGATCCAGAAAGTAAACAGTTATAAACCCAACACCCATTATCTAATCTATTGTTTGCGATATCACTTCGGTGGAAGCGGACGTTAAATAAAGCTATTTCACACACATATCTAATCTAGACAGACCCTTTAAACTATGTAACAGTAGGAATCCAATGGTTTTCTATGATTCTCAACAGATTTGAACAGTTTTCCAACAATAGTTTGAAATTAAACATTAAATACAGAAACTCCTGATAAAACAATACAACTAAATAATACCATAGTTGTAGCGATTGTTGTATTCTGTATAATTGTTGTTTTATGTATTCTGTATAATTGTTGTTTTATGTATTCTGTATAATTGTTGTTTTATGATAATTGTTGTTTTATTTATGTATTGGGGGGGGGGGGGCGGTGGATGGCCGAATGGTTAGCACGTGCATGCTGTATCATAAGACCTGTCATTGAGTCAACTGGCTTGGTTTCGAATCCCCGGTTGTACATGACAAGGAGTTGGGTCGCCTGTCCAACCTCGTGGGTTTTCTCCGGGTTCTCGGGTTTCCTCCCACTGCTAAAGACCCGTACGCGCAAGCGAATTATTGAAATAAAAATTAAACCATATGTTAGTCCCGAAATGACCTAGTTTGTGTCGAGTGGACGTTAAACCCCATTTTTCTCTCTCTATGTATTCTGTATAATTGTTGTTTTATTTATGTATTCTATATAATTGATGTTTTATGTATTCTGTATAATTGTTGTATTATGTATTCTGTGTATATTTTTAGAATTGTTGTTTAATTTACAGGAGTTTAAACATTTATGGCCAAAGCTGGATCTTATAATAGATGGTGGTATTTTAAGTTCAAGTGGAGAGAGGTCAGGGTCAACTGTTGTCGATTTATCAACTTCAGGCTTTTATAGAATTATACGACAGGGGAGGTAATTTAATTAAACATACATTATACAAGAGCTAGATCTGCCTATTGCAAGTCTTTCTTTAGGCCTGAAATGTTATATAAACTATTAATTAACTTATGTAAACCATAATCAACCCTCAATGTTATCTTATGTGTTGGATTTTCACCGGATTGGAATCCAATCAATGCTCAACACTTATTGATGATTAAATCCAAAAATGGATAATCGAGACTATGTTTTTTAACTTACCGACTTTAGTAATGATGAGCGAGATTCAAAAGCTATAATTTCAATTCGTAGTGTAGCAATTTGACTGAAATTTTCAACATCGTCTATTTACGTTATCTATTTTTTAACTATTATAGCGAGAACAGTCAACTCTTTATCTAATCTCCCATAATACCTCATTAACTTTTAATAATGTATCGAAACAGGAGTTAACATCCTAAGATTCGAGTCCAACTTAAGTTGATTCAAAGACCCTACTTGCGACTCTACATATTTATCGCAACTTTGTGAAGACTTGGGGCTTAAATCGACTCGGTATTAAAGCCAAAGTCTTGTAACTCGACTAGCGGTGTTGCAACTTGGGAAAGCCAGGCAGTCTTTTCAGCACCACTGACGAAGGGGAAAGCCAGGCCCCCTGTTCAGCATCACAGATGAAGGGGAAAGCCAGGCCCTCTGTTCAGCACCACCAACAAGTAATTCTATCAGATTTAAAACTGGACTATCATTAAATGTTCGTGGCCAACAAATCAAACAGCAAAGATCTTTGTAAAATACTGAACACATGGAACCATTTTTGAACTGATTTTCTATTTTTAGCGAGTCATATTTCACAATATTGTAGTTTGCTCGGGATTTTAAATTAATGTATTGTTGTTTGTTTTTCAGTGGTTATGAGAAAACATTAAAGATTTTACATAAACATAAATTACAAGAGAAGTCTTAGCATCGCATCACAGTTTTCTACATAGAAATTTTACAATTTATTTATCTATATGGTTTGAACGATGGAGGGATGATTTGGCCGCAGTTCGATTTGAGCACATCTTTGTATAAACTCACATCTCAATGAATGCAGAGGATAAACGGAACGATTTGAGCACATCTCGATCAATGAAATGATTTGATATACAACTGCTCATGTAGGTATTTGAGTTTTATGAAAAAATACTGAAAATTGTCAAGTTTTTTGTCAAGGTGTATTTGGAAGAGGCGTCACACTAAATCTAACATCAACCTTGTATCATCTGATTTGATATCTATTGTTGATTTCTTACAATGTCTGTGTAGTTTGTGGTGTCCGCAGGTTTGTCTTATCTTTTTGGTTTTGTGTGTAGTGTGGTCTTCCTGCACTTACTTTATAGAATGATATTTTCATATTGTCACACCAAATCTGTAATCTCTTGGATATACATACAGCCGCGGATCCAGAGGGGAGGTTTGGGGGATCCACCAGCCCCCCACCCCCGCTCAGCTACATAAAAATTTTTGTAAAACAACCTTTTTTATGAGAAAAGTGTCATAATTGTGCTTTATCCTTTTTCGTCAGATGGTGCGACAGGATGGGCACTCAAAGCGTGAGATAATGATATAGACATATGTGATATCACAATTAATGCTTTGCATCAATAAAATTGAATCACAATGTCATCGTATTAATTCATAATAAAATTTGACGTCAAACAGGATGTTGGATTTCTCTGTTTTAAAAGATCAATGTGTGTATATACGCCAAAATGACGATAGAGACCATGTATTTCTCAAAAAATTTCAAGCCGAGGGGGGGGGGGGAAGGGAGGATACATTTTCTCAGGAAGCTGGCAAACTCCCTCCTGAAAAAATTCCTGGATCCGCCCCTGACATAGTGTCAGAAATAATTCCTGCTTTATTAGCCACAGTCCATCTGGTGTCTGTCAATTTGTCTTTTTATCAATGTTTTATTTAGTGAATTATTGTATTTTATATTATTTAAAACTGTAAAATATGGGGACCATCATTTAATATGAACCCAATGTAACTCAGGTCACTCTACAAACATTGTTTTTATAGTTAATTAAATCATGTATCAATATCAGACATTTTTGCATTTATTTTTAAAATAGTTTTATTTCGGTTTAGCATGATATATTGACAATGTTTGAAATTCACCAAATGATGTTTATTTATCTTTGTTAATAGTTTTATTTGGATTTAAAGGCTCAATACCACTCTTTTTGTAACTGAATAATATTTCCCAATCTTTATTCTGGTCAACAAATTGCACTATTTTACAATATTCCAATTAATTGATGATACAAATTTCATCTTAACACACCTAATTTAAAAAATTGGAAAAATTCAACTAAATGATTTGAAAAGCCTGACGTAAATCTTTTCAAATTTGACTTGGATTTAAAAATATTTTTGAACCCTTTGGACAAGTAAAATAGGATTTAATGGATAATTTAAAAAACAGGTAGGACACTAACACATCTAGTACTTAGAATAAGGCTATTTTTTATTTTCTGGAGCTGTCAAGACAGCACAAGTGTTATTGTCCCTTTAACATATGTTGACAATGTCTGAGATTCACCAAATAATGTTTAAGTCTCTTTGTTAAAAGCATTTACAGTTGACAATATGTTGACAACATATGTTGACAATGTCTGAGATTCACCAAATAATGTTTAAGTCTCTTTGTTAAAAGCATTTACAGTTGAGTTCATTGGTAGGACCAAAAGCGAAACACATGTTAAAACAAACACACCATGGCGATGCTCGATTGGACGTCCCGGAAACCCCTAAATAGAGACGTTTGAGTGAAAATAGGAATTTGGGGCTAGAACCGGTGTGCCGACTGCACGAGGAAATATCTCAACCAACCAGGACAGCTGAATCATGTTCGTGGTGTTTAATTACATCGTGATTCTACTCACACCACCTCCGTTGTCGGGACAGACAGAACTGTGACAGGACTGAATTCTGTGTCACTCGATTGCAATTCCGTCAATTCTGGACGTTCCAGACTGACAATCCAGCTTCGGGCGTCGCCACACCATACAACTGGTGTATATAAGCCACACCATACAACTGGTGTATATAAGCCACACCATACAACTGGTGTATATAAGCCACACTATACAACTGGTGTATATAAGCCACACCATACAACTGGTGTATATAAGCCACACCATACAACTGGTGTATATAAGTTTTACAATGCCACTCGTCTCTCGATTTCAATATGATGTCACATTTTAAAACAAAACACACTATAGTGATGTCCTCGGGCGTAATTTACAAAAGCTAAAACTAAGATATTTTAAGGATTGAGCCATTTCGTTGGTTGAGAGGTAAAAACACATTGTAGCTCTTGACCCATAAAAGGGCAGAATTTTTACAATATTTTAAGTTTTGATCAATCTGGTTAAAACACAGATCCTATTTCGTTTTGTTTTTCATAGTTCAAAATTTCATTTTATTGTCTTTACTACACTAGGATCTGGAAGAGTTGTTATATTGAGGAATTAGCCAATGAAATGGTCAATGCTGATTGATTAATCAATGTCTGACGTCATAGGGTGTAAAGCCGCTTGTGTGACACCTGACGCTACCTCCCAGTACAACTAGTCAGATCTTCATGTATTGTAGGTCATCGAAAGTATAAAAAACGACTTCATGTAGTGTAGGCCATCGAAATTATAAAAAACAAAATGAAATATTGATCTGTATTTTAAATCAGATTGAGTTTTGATGAATAAGGTCCCAGGTGTATATCTGTTCTAATATTTGTGAGATGACATCGACCGTGACGTTGTGACGTCACATAATTTAGGGAATTTTTGACTCAACCAGTGACTAACCAATGTGTTTATATAGAAATAAATAATTTTTTAATAAGTGTATTGAAAATATATTGTATATCGGGTTAAAATCATGTTTATATTTATTTTTTTTTAAATAAAATTAACAAATACTCTAAAACTTGTCTTGTTATGTTGCTGTAGTTGAACAAGGAACAGATCATCTTGGGGCGATGCTGTTCATAAAAGCCTGAGACTTGGCCAGTTTGAGTACGATCAACATAAAACTAAGTAAACTAAAACATCTAAACTATTTCAGGAATCCGAGGTAGTCAATATTTGCATTTACCGAAATCAAATATCGGTTATTTCCCATTTTATTTTATAACTGGGATACAAGCGCCACATCAGCTATTGTATGCACCAGAGGTTGGCCATTCCCGGTTTACAAGGGCCACATCAGGTGTATGCACCGGAAGTTGGCCAGCCCTAAGCTGCTAACACCGACAAACTTGAAATCATGCCTTGAAAATATTCTGAGAGAGAGAGGGTTAAACATCCACTGACACAAACTAGGTCATTTCGGGACTAACATATGGTTCAATTTGATTTCAAAACTCTTTAGCAGTGGGAGGAAACCCACTCTCTGCCCGTACAACTGGGGAATCGAAACAACGCCATTTGACTCAATGTGACTCAATGACATCCCCCGAAAATATTGTGAGTATATCAAATGAACAACATAATAAAGTTAAATGGTAATTTATTTTACATTTATACAAAAAAAAATATTATACACTCTTCACATCTTAAGGTGGGCATCAAACAGACTGTAACTACATTTACTTATATCCTAAAACACAAACACTGTTCGACATGCAGTTATTGTTTGTTGTCATGGCAACAAAACTATAACATTAATCAAATTAATTAACGATCAATGAAGAAACTTTAACTGAAAGTCAGTACACACCTATTGGAAATTTTGCTTACTATGTATTGACGGGAGAAAATAATAATTTAAACAGAAATGAAATGTGATTTAACGTCCTACTGCTCTGCTCCGACTGGGCTAATGAAGATGGGCATACGTCATACATTGCGCGATGAGGGATGTTTCGTCCGGACAGCGGCACTGCGGCCTACTCTTATATCAAATTCAAACCCTACTCCTTGTCACATACAACTGGGGAATCGAACCCATGCCAGTTGACTCAATGACAGACCGTATGATAATATGCGCACATGCTAACCATTCCCCCCCCCCCTGTCTTAGCAATAATGTTTAGGAAGAAACGTAGCCCCGGTTGCTCCGTGTGGAAGACACGGGCTTGATAACCTGGAGGTCCTTTATGCTGTGTTGGCTGCCTGGGCAAAATTTCCCTCATAGCATACTGCAGTAGCCCAGTCAGTGCAGAAAAGCAGGACCTTAAACCCCATTTCATTTCGTTTCACAAAGAAAAGCTACCAAAAAATTAAAGAGGTTTAGAAAACAAAGACCACAGGCCCCGAGTTCACAAAGACCACAGGCCCCGAGTTCACAAAGACCAAGGGCCCTGAGTTCACAAAGACCACTCAGACTTGAGTTCAGAATTTACTCAACTTTCAATCACTGTTATGAAAAATATCTTTGATCTAGAAACACACAACTTTGCACATAGTTTCTTATTGATGTATTTGATACATTAAATCTACAAAAGTTTTATAATGGGCTATAAGGCGAATAATTTTGAGTAAATTCTTAACTTAAGCTTATCTGTTAACAGTCTAGACCTGTACCAATCAATGTTTAAACGGAGAACATTTTCTTCCTTACTGGTTTCCGAATTTAGTCATCACGTATATATTTTTCTCCTGAATAAATATCCATGCAAAAAGGAAGAATATTTTTAAGCCTAGAGTCGGTTCTAAACAGCGCGTGTTTGATGAGAGATAGGTCTTCGTTAATAACGGTACATGTAAAATAAACAGCGCGTGTTTGATGAGAGATAGGTCTTCGTTAATAACGGTACATGTAAAATAAACACGGGAAACAAAATTTGCCTAAGCGTGAAACATTTCCCAAACAATTTGATAAAACAAAAATAATTTCTGGTGAAAGATGTCAGCCTGATTAACAAATGATGAAGTTCTGTACTGGCCAAGATAAATATGAATTTATAATAATATGAACTAGTTGCTGATTGGTCAACTGATTGCTATGGTTACTGATTCTTCTTTCTGCGACGTTGTTTCGTGACAAGTTATGTGAAGATCTCCGTCCCTACAACAAAAACACAATCAGAAGATTAGATTTTAAAAAACACAAATCAAAGTTAGATGCTTTGACGGAGAGCCTGGCAAGGACAGCTTCTAGTCTTTCGGTTGGGATGAAAACCCGGAAATCCTTCTAGATGTTGGCATGCACGTAAAAGAACCCTTGACAGTTGGAATTTGAAATAAGAGTAGGCTGGGCAAAATTACCCTCATAGCACACTGTATGGCATACGTCCATCTTCATTAGCCCAGTCGGTGCAGAAAAGTAGGATGACATTAAACCCCATTTCATTTCATTTTGGTTCTGATGCTTTGACTTTATTCAACTGACATCAAATCTGTACTCTATTAGATGCTTTAGATGCTATCAGTTCCTCTAGATGCTACATCTAAGTTTAGATGCTATCAGTCCAGCTCTAGAGGCTACCAATCTAACTCTAGATGCTATAGATCCAATTTAAGATGCTACGATCTAACTCTAGATGCTATAGGTCTAGCTCTAGAGGCTACAAATCTAACTCTAGAGGCTACCAATCTAACTCTAGATGCTATCAGTCCAGCTCTAGAAGCTACCAATTTAACTCTAGATGATACATATCTAACTCTAGAGGCTACCAATATGACTCTAGATGCTACAGTCCAGCTCTTGAGGTTACCAATTGAACTCTAGATGCTACGTGTCCAGCTCCTGAGGCTACCAATTCAAGCTCTAGATGCTACTGACCAGCTCTAGATGCTACAGATTCAGCTCTAGAGGCTACAAATCTAACTCTAGATGCTATAAGTCCAGCTCTAGATGCTACAAATCTAACTTTAGATGCTATAAGCCCAGCTCTAGATGCTACAATTCTAACTACAGACACTATAAGTCGAACTCTAGAGGCTACACATCTAACACTAGAGGCTACACATCTAACTCTTGATGCTATAGGTCTAGCTCTAGATGCTACAAATCTAACTCATAGAGAATACCAATGTAACAATGCAAAAAGATGATAGATAAAACCTTACCTTCTGAGATGAAAACTGGATTGTATTGTTGCACCAGCAGGTAAATCTCTCATAATTATCTACAACAATATAAACATTAATTAACAGAGACCACATTACATCCTTGTTATGTTACCATGGAAACATGAAACTCCTTACTTAACAGTAATAGAATAAATAGAAAAAAAACAAAGTTCTTACTTAACAGTAATAGAATAGTTAGAGAAACCCAAGTCTTACTTAACAGTAATAGAACAATACCAGAGTAATAGAGATATAGAGAGAGAGAGAGACAGAGACAGAGAGAGACAGAGACAGAGACCCTCATAAAACCCATGAGGTTAGATAGGCGGTCCTACGCCTTGTCACGTACAACCGGGGAATCCAAACCACGTAAGACCTTGTGATACAATGCGTATGTGCTAACCATTTGGTCACTCCCCCCCCCCCCCATAAGTAATAGAACAATTAGAGAAACCCCCCTAAGTCCTAGTTTTACAGTAATAGAACGATCTGAGAAACCTGTCATGTCTTTAATAGAACAATGGTAAAGAAAATAATTTGTATACCTTGGCTAATAAATCTTGACATTGATTATCTGAATCTGTTTCATATATCTCCATACGAAGAGTTGTCTGTTCTTGTTGTAAAATAAAACTATGTTGTTTCCGTGAAGGTATTAAACTTGACCTGGGTAAAACTATTAGAGGTTTATTTGATTCATTCTCCACCTTTACGGCAACACCATGAGATAAACATCTTATCTCAGCCGATTCTTCATGTATTGTAGGTCATCGAAAGTATAAAAAACGACTTCATGTAGTGTAGGCCATCGAAATTATAAAAAACAAAATGAAATATTGATCTGTATTTTAAATCAGATTGAGTTTTGATGAATAAGGTCCCAGGTGTATATCTGTTCTAATATTTGTGAGATGACATCGACCGTGATGTTGTGACGTCACATAATTTAGGGAATTCTTTGACTCAACCAGTGACTAACCAATGTGTTTATATAGAAATAAATAAAAAAATTAAAAAAAAAACCATTTTTTAATAAGTGTATTGAAAATAAATTGTATATCGGGTTAAAATCATGTTTATATTTATTTTTTTTAAAATAAAATTAACAAATACTCTAAAACTTGTCTTGTTATGTTGCTGTAGTTGAACAAGGAACAGATCATCTTGGGGCGATGCTGTTCATAAAAGCCTGAGACTTGGCCAGTTTGAGTACGATCAACATAAAACTAAGTAAACTAAAACATCTAAACTATTTCAGGAATCCGAGGTAGTCAATATTTGCATTTACCGAAATCAAATGTCGGTTATTTCCCATTTTATTTTATAACTGGGATACAAGGGCCACATCAGCTATTGTATGCACCAGAGGTTGGCCATTCCCGGTTTACAAGGTCCACATCAGGTGTATGCACCGGAGGTTGGCCAGCCCTGGTTTACAGTCTAGTTCCCATATCTAATCACTAAGCTGCTAACACCGACAAACTTGAAATCATGCCTTGAAAATATTCTGAGAGAGAGAGAGAGGGTTAAACATCCACTGACACAAACTAGGTCATTTCGGGACTAACATATGGTTCAATTTGATTTCAAAACTCTTTAGCAGTGGGAGGAGACCCACTCTCTGCCCGTACAACTGGGTAATCGAAACAACGCCAGTTGACTCAATGTGACTCAATGACATCCCCCGAAAATATTGTGAGTATATTAAATGAACAACATAATAAAATTAAATGGTAATTTATTTTACATTTATACAAAAAAAAATATTATACACTCTTCACATCTTAAGGTGGGCATCAAACAGACTGTAACTACATTTACTTATATCCTAAAACACAAACACTGGGTGACATGCAGTTATTGTTTGTTGTCATGGCAACAAAACTATAACATTAATCAAATTAATTAACGATCAATGAAGAAAGACAGTACACACCTATTGGAAATTTTGCTTACTATGTATTGACGGGAGAAAATAATAATTTAAACAGAAATGAAATGTGATTTAACGTCCTACTGCTCTGCTCCGACTGGGCTAATGAAGATGGTCATACGTCATACATTGCGCGATGAGGGATGTTTCGTCCGGACAGCTGCACTGCGGCCTACTCTTATATCAAATTCAAACCCTACTCCTTGTCACATACAACTGGGGAATCGAACCCATGCCAGTTGACTCAATGACAGACCGTATGATAATATGCGCACATGCTAACCATCCCCCCCCCCCCCTGTCTTAGCAATAATGTTTAGGAAGAAACGTAGCCCCGGTTGCTCCGTGTGGAAGACACGGGCTTGATAACCTGGAGGTCCTTTATGCTGTGTTGGCTGCCTGGGCAAAATTTCCCTCATAGCATACTGCAGTAGCCCAGTCAGTGCAGAAAAGCAGGACCTTAAACCCCATTTCATTTCGTTTCACAAAGAAATGCTACCAAAAAATTAAAGATGTTTAGAAAACAAAGACCACAGGCCCCGAGTTCACAAAGACCAAGGGCCCTGAGTTCACAAAGACCACTCAGACTTGAGTTCAGAATTTACTCAACTTTCAATCACTGTTTATGAAAAATATCTTTGATCTAGAAACACACAACTTTGCACATAGTTTCTTATTGATGTATTTGATACATTAAATCTACACAAGTTTTATAATGGGCTATAAGGCGAACAATTTTGAGTAAATTCTTAACTTAAGCTTATCGGTTAACAGTCTAGACCTGTACCAATCAATGTTTAAACGGAGAACATTTTCTTCCTTACTGGTTTCCGAATTTAGTCATCACGTATATATTTTTCTCCTGAATAAATATCCATGCAAAAAGGAAGAATATTTTTAACCCTAGAGTCGGTTCTAAACAGCGGGTGTTTGATTGAGAGATAGGTCTTCGTTAATAACGGTACGTGTTTGATGAGAGATAGGTCTTCGTTAATAATGGTACTTTGATGAGAGATAGGTCTTCGTTAATAATGGTACATGTAAAAAAAAAACACTGGACACAAAATTTGCCTAAGCGTGAAACATTTCCCAAACAATTTGATAAAACAAAAATAATTTCTGGTGAAAGATGTCAGCCTGATTAACAAATGATGAAGTTCTGTACTGGCCAAGATAAATATGAATTTATAATAATATGAACTAGTTGCTGATTGGTCAACTGATTGCTATGGTTACTGATTCTTCTTTCTGCGACGTTGTTTCGTGACAAGTTATGTGAAGATCTCCGTCCCTACAACAAAAACACAATCAGAAGATTAGATTTTAAAAACCACGAATCAAAGTTAGATGCTTTGACGGAGAGCCTGGCAAGGACAGCTTCTAGTCTTTCGGTTGGGATGAAAACCCGGAAATCCTTCTAGATGTTGGCATGCACGTAAAAGAACCCTTGACAGTTGGAATTTGAAATAAGAGTAGGCCGGGCAAAATTACCCTCATAGCACACTGTATGGCATACGTCCATCTTCATTAGCCCAGTCCGTGCAGAAAAGTAGGATGACGTTAAACCCCATTTCATTTCATTTTGGTTCTGATGTTTTGACTTTATTCAACTGACATCAAATCTGTACTCTATTAGATGCTTTAGATGCTATCAGTTCCTCTAGATGCTACGTCTAAGTTTAGATGCTATCAGTCCAGCTCTAGAGGCTACCAATCTAACTCTAGAGGCTACCAATCTAACTCTAGAGGCTACCAATCTAACTCTAGAGGCTACCAATCTAACTCTAGATGCTATGGATCCAACTTAAGATGCTACGATCTAACTCTAGATGCTATAGGTCTAGCTCTAGAGGCTACAAATCTAACTCTAGATGCTAAGAGTTCAGCTCTGGAGGCTACAAATCTAACTCTAGAGGCTACTAATCTAACTCTAGAGGCTATCAGTCTAGCTCTAGAGGCTACCAATATAACTCTAGAGGCTACCAATCTAACTCTAGATGATACATATCTAACTCTAGATGCTATCAGTCCAGCTCTAGAGGCTACCAATCTAACTCTAGAGGCTACCAATCTAACTCTACCAATTCAAGCTCTAGATGCTACAGGTCCAGCTCTAGAGGCTACAAATCTAACTCTAGGTCCAGCTCTAGATGCTACGAATCTAACTTTAGATGCTATAAGCCAAGCTCTAGATGCTACAATTCTAACTACAGACACTATAAGTCGAACTCTAGAGGCTACACATCTAACTCTTGATGCTATAGGTCCAGCTCTAGATGCTACAAATCTAACTCATAGAGAATACCAATCTAACAATGCAAAAAGATGATAGATAAAACCTTACCTTCTGAGATGAAAACTGGATTGTATTGTTGCACCAGCAGGTAAATCTCTCATAATTATCTACAACAATATAAACATTAATTAACAGAGACCACATTACATCCTTGTTATGTTACCATGGAAACATGAAACTCCTTACTTAACAGTAATAGAATAAATAGAAAAAAAAACAAAGTTCTTACTTAACAGTAATAGAAACCCAAGTCTTACTTAACAGTAATAGAACAATACCAGAGTAATAGAGATATAGAGAGAGACAGAGAGAGAGAGAGAGAGAGACAGAGAGAGAGAGACCCTCATAAAACCCATGAGGTTAGATAGGCGGTCCTACGCCTTGTCACGTACAACCGGGGAATCGAAACCACGCAAGACCTTGTGATACAATGCGTATGTGCTAACCATTTGGTCACTCCCCCCCCCCCCCCATAAGTAATAGAACAATTAGAGAAACCCCCCTAAGTCCTAGTTTTACAGTAATAGAACGATTTGAGAAACCTGTCATGTCTTTAATAGAACAATGGTAAAGAAAATAATTTGTATACCTTGGCTAATAAATCTTGACATTGATTATCTGAATCTGTTTCATATATCTCCATACGAAGAGTTGTCTGTTCTTGTTGTAAAATAAAACTATGTTGTTTCCGTGAAGGTATTAAACTTGACCTGGGTAAAACTATTAGAGGTTTATTCGATTCATTCTCCACCTTTACGGCAACACCATGAGATAAACATCTTATCTCGGCCGATTCTTCGTTTCTCTTGATATCTCCTTGTTCTTTACCCACTAAAAACGCCGCCTAAATAATAAAATGAAATGAAATGGTGTTTAACGTCCTACTGTTCTGCTCCGAACTGGGCTAATGTAAGGACAGGCATAAACCATTCAGTGTGCTAATGAAGACGAGCAAATGCCATACAGTGTGCTATGAGGGTAATTTGGCCCGGATAGCGGGCTAAGGCCTACTCTTATATCGAATTCCAACTGTCAAGGGATCTTTTACATGCACGCCAATGTGTACACAGGACCTCGGTTTTTTGTCCCATCCATACAACTAGACAGCTGTCCTTGTCAGGCCCTCTGTCCTGCACCACTGACAATCTTGTCCAACACAGTGATCGAATACCATGGCTCCTTGACGTATTTATATTCTATCTCCTGCGCTATAAAATATTACTGTAAATAAAAGCTCAGATAGTTATGATATCGTCTAAATAAAACCCTTTATTTAGTTAAATGTTTTAAATCTCAGTTTCTAACATTTTTTTATGTTGTCCCAATAAGCCATGGTCCCAATCAGCTTCCATTCAAGTGCAATGATATAATATGTAACACTTTCTGTAACTATCATCTAGGTGTCTATTATCAGCCAAAACCATACTCATCACTGTGGCTCCATTAATAACAGTATATTTCATTGAACTGTTCTTAAATCAACTTTTAACCTTTTCAAATCTACATAAATTACCTGAGCTAATTACATTATTTACCTAAGCTAATTACATTTACCTGATTTAATGACAATAATTGCCTGAGTTAATGACAATATTTAAGTTAATGACAATATTTACCTGAGTTAATGACAATATTTACCTGTTTAGCAGCACCTATAGCTATAACCTCATCACATGTTATAGATGTTAATAAAACAGAATCTAGAAGACAATCATTGATAGTTTTCTGTAAAATAGGGACATTAGCTCCACCGCCACATAATATCACCTGTAATATATAATATCACCTGTAAAATAGGGACATTAGCTCCACCGCCACATAATATCACCTGTAATAAATACATAATAAGTCCACACTCTAAAATTGAATTAAAAAAATATTCTTATTATGGTCTTCATTTTCAAGCTTGTTGCTTTATTCTTAACATGGTAACCCCTTGAAGACAAGCATTAGCTGAAAATAGCTTCTGCTGTAGCTGATTAGCTGCTGTTGCATTAGCCGATTAGCTGCTGTTACATTAACTGATTAGCTGCTGTAGCTGATTAGCTTCTTCTGCATTAGCCAATTAGCTGCTGCAGTATAAAATTAGATGTTGCATTTGTTTGATTGAAAATTTCAGCATGCAATTGAGATGGCGGATATTATTTTTCGACGAACTGTAAGCGGCTCAGCCCAGTACTGCCCTCAATACTGACCTTATTAATGTCTGATTTTGTTAGTTTGGTTTCTCGTAGAATCTGTTCTATCAACTGTACACACTGTTGTAATAAATTATTACATAATATCTCAAATCTACCCCTGAAAATACACAGACAAATAATAAACATAAATACACTTGATTTCTTTTTTCATATCATCCAACATACTAAGTATTAAAATGTAGATCCAATGTGGTCCTATAAAAGAGAAAGAGCAGTCATTTACAAAAGAAAAAAGAGTGTTTTCTAAAGAGACAGCGAGAGAGATTAGTCCTATAAGAAAGTTAGAGAGGGCCTATAAGAAAGTTAGAGTAGTCCTATAATAAATAAAAAGAGAGGGCCTATAAGAAAGACAAATATTGGACCTATAAGAGATAGAAATGTGTAAAATAACTAACCTGGATACGTTGTAATGAAAGTCAATACCATCGTAAAGAGAATCTACAGCACACTGAGCATTAGGTAACGTAGATAACGTGTGTTTACACATCTCCGCAGCTAGTCGTAATTTCGTCATAGATCGTCTGTTATCTCTAATATCACATTTAGCTTGTCTAAAATACAACAAAATACTAGGTTAGAGAGAGAGAGGGAGAAATGGGGTTTAACGTCCACTCGACACAAACTAGGTCATTTCGGGACTAACATATGGTTGAATTTTATTTAAATAATTCGCTTGTGCGTAATGTTCTTTAGCAGTGGGAGGAAACCAGAGAAAACCCACGAGGTTGGACAGGCGACCCTATCCCTTGTCACATACAAGCGGGTAATCGAAACCATGCCACTTGACTCAATGACAGACCTTATGATCTAATGCGCACGCATTAACCCTTCGATTATATATTTTCTGATTTAATTAGAAGCAGCAGATTGGGTTCAAATCCAGTAAAGATCGCAGGCTAGCGATGCCATCTAGAGTTGATTATGGTCTGGATAAGTTAATTAATGTCTAATAAATAGTATAGAAAACATTTCAGGCCTAAAGAAAGACCTGCAATAAGCAGATTTAGCTCCTGCATAATGTATTTTTAATCTGTTATACAAACTACATTTCACAATATTGGCACTTGTGTGTGATGACCGTATTTTTTGATCATGAGTTGAAATATCCACCTGATAACCAACCTACCTTTTAAATTCTGAGACTAAATTTTCTGTTAAAACATCTGTAAAATTCTCTCCACCATATTTCTCTAATGTGACGGAACTGACCACCTGATAAATCCCACGATTCACCTGGAGAATTGTCGCATCCGTGGACGTACCTCCTAATCTTAATACCAGAACACAACTAAAACAAATAAATACACCCATTTTAATAGTCAACAAACAAATATAATGTAGTCATTATAGATATTATACAAATAAAAATGAAATGGAGTAAGCCCGTCTTCATTAGCCCAGTCAGAGCAGAACACTAGGATTTTAAACCCCATATCATTTCAATTTTATGTCTGCGCCAATGAGAACAGAGTACCACATGTTTTTCGTCACATCCGAACGATGACAAGACACTATTTCTTGCCAAGTACATCATCCTACACAACTGACCAGGGGGGAACAACTCCGCATTAGTTGAATTTATTTTTCAAATTTTTGGTAGCCAATCAGATACCATTAACCCAATCATTAGCTTGGTTAAAGATATATTATATAAGATTTAGATAAAGGGCTGGTCGTTCTAGCTCAAACATAGACAATGCAAAATCAATATTCTCAGTTTTAAGGTTTGGCAAGATCTAGCATAGATTGTTCATTATCGTAACAACGGTACTTGGCAACCGACTTATCATCAATTATCCATTTTATCGTGAAATTCATAACACTGACAGCCATCCGATAGTCTAGAGAGTTGATTAAAGGCTTGTTATGTAAATAAATGTCTAATTAATAATTTATATAACATTTGAAGCCAAAATAAACAGTCAATAAAGACCTGTAATAGGCAGATTTAGCTTTTAAATGACTACATATGAGGATCAAGTTGTTATGAAAATAAATGGAAAACGACAAAAATGGTATCTAGTAACGTGGTATTCAGTCCTGTCACAGTTTTGTCAGTCCCGACAACAGATGTGGTGTGAGTAGAATCGTGACGTAATTAAACACAACGAATATATTTCAGTTGCCATGGGTAGTTCAGATATTTTTACATTAATAGCGGCGCATGCATTGTAGCCCGAAATCTCTTTTACACCCGACTGTTGCCAATTTTGGGATTCAGAGGATTTAATTGCGGAACGTTCAATCGAGTATACCTTTGTTGTCTCCCTTTAGTTTGTCAGGGGAGGTAATACATCAGGTTTTAACGTCCTACTATTCTTATACAACTGGGATAATGAAGACGGAGATAGTGTGCTCTGAGAGACATTTGGCCAGGGCAGCGGCACTACAGCCTACTCCTCCTGTCTTTATTAGCACAGTCGGCGTAAAAAAGTAGGACGTTAAACCCCATTACATTTCATTGCATTTATGGCCTACTCCACACACCAGGAGTGAACGGAAAAGATTATACTACATACCTTTCTTCGTTATGATTCTCTTGACCTAGATCGTACGCCAAGGCAGCAGCGGCAGGTTCATTGATCAATCGTAAAACATTAAATCCGGCTTTAACAGCTGATTCACTACAAAATAGAATCATATTTTATTTATCAACATACTGATAGACTTAAAAAACTCTCATTATACTCGGACAGTTGAAATTGGGATTTCCTTTATGTTATGTAAAAAGTTTGATGGAACAGCCAGGTTTGTCTTTTTACCTTATTAGTTCTTTTTGTTGGGAGTATAGTTTGATGGAATAGCCAGGTTTGTCTATTTACCTTATTAGTTTCTTTTTGTTTGGGAGTAAAGTTTGATGGAACAGCCAGGGTTGTCTATTTACCTTATAAGTTCTTTTTGTTTGGGAGTAAAGTTTGATGGAACAGCCAGGACAGCATCTTTAATACCCCGTCCTCCATGACTTTCAGCCGTTTCTGTAATCAAAATAAAAGGATTCAAAACAAATTGAACAAAATTAAAGTAAAGATGCCTCATTTGCATTTTTTGCCAAAATATCAAATTTCATCCATGCTAACACATACTCAGATTAAAAACAGAATCAAAACATCACTTTTAGATAATCTCTCGGATCAGTTGCAGTCGGATTAGAAACAGACCAATCAATTAGATTTCGCGAAACAGAGAGATGGAAGTGGGGTTTAACGTCCACTCAACACAAACTAGGTCATTTCGGGACTAACATATGGTTTAATTTTATTTCAATAATTCGCTTGCGCGTAGGGGTCTTTAGCAGTGGGAGGAAACCAGAGGACCCGGAGAAAACCCATGAGGTTGGACAGGCGACCCTACTACTTGTCACGTACAAACTAAGAATCGAAACCACGCCAGTTGACTCAATGACAGGCCTTATGATACAGTGCGCACGTGCTAACCATTCGGCCATCCAACCCGCCTTCGCGAAACAAAGATGGTGGTGTGTTTGTTTACATAGGGAGAAGCATATCTTTGTGAATACTGAACAGAACAGATCAGAACTAAGTCTTCCATATTTAGTTCACTTACCGGCTTCAAGTGAATAAAATACTGTCTTTGTTTATTTAATGGATAAAGCAAAACATTCTTGTAATAAGATATAGTTCATCAGTTGATCGAAAATAGATCTGTTTTACTACGACCAGTAGATTTCATGTACCCCTGACAAGTGGGGACGGGCCTGTGTAAGAAACCCATGAAATGAAATGGGGTTTAGTGTCCTACTGCCCTGCTCCTACTGGGCAAATGAAACGGGCATACATCATACAGTGTGCTATATGGGAAATTTTTCCTGGGCAGCGGCACTATGGCCTACTCTTTTATCGAATTCCAACTGTCAAGGGTTCTTTTACGTGCACGCCAATGTGTACACGGGACCTCGGCTTTTGTCCCATCCGAACGACTAGACAGCTGTCCTTGTCAGGCCCTCCGTTCTGCACCAATACAGGGGGAAACCACGCCGGAAAATCCCGATGAACTTTCTCGACCAATGCAGGGATCGAAACACGAGACCTCCAGCCTAGCGTCTTACCTGTGTGTAAGAGTGCCACCTACCTAACATCTTGGAATAAATATTAGAAGCTATTTCTACCGGGCTGAAAGATGCTGGTTTTCCTTTAAAATCAACATCAAACTGACAGAAGCCATCTTTATTGGTCACCTGGAAAAATAAACAAATAAATGACAACCAGAGGCCTTATTCGTGAAAAACTTAAAGATACATTATGGGAGATTAGATAAAGAGCTAACAGTTCTTGCTATAATAGTTAAAAACTAGATAATGTAATGGGGATATACTGAAAATTTCAGTCAAATTGGAAAACCAAATTTTAAAAACATGGTAGCCTCGATTGTCATTGTTACCGTTGTAACGATAATAAACAAAGTCTCGATTATCCATTTTTACGCTTAATCATGAACAGCCATTGAATCGTAGATTGAATTCAAATCTGTTTAAAATCATACCCATCAGATGGCATCGATCGAGTTGATTATAGTCTTGTCATGTTAACAAATGTCTAATTAATAGTTTGGTTGCCATTTGAAATCCTAGTGCAAATTTTTGTTCTTGGCCAATGAAAGGATTGAATTCTTAAAATATTTTAGTTTTTGTGAACAAGGCCCCAGAGACTTTAAAGTAACGAAGCAACATTTGCATTTTTTGCTAGAATATCAAATTTCTCACAGCTTAGCTCCTGGTAATATGTACTCAGATTGATTATTTAACATTTCATTAAGAAAACAAAATCATAATACCAACGATAGATAACCTCCCAGTTTGGATTCAGTCGATTCTAAATTAGGCCAATCAATAATCAATCGAGGACAAGAAAATACCAATGACAGATAACCTGCAGGCTTGGATTTAAATTAGGTCAATCAAGGCAAGGATTTGGCGCAACGGTTAGAGAGTAGGATTTGTGACCTAACGGTTGCAGGTTCGCGACCCGAATTGTGCGTCGAATTCTTGTGTCCTTGAATAAGACACTTCATCCCTGTATTCAAGTCTACCCAGCTGTAATTGGGTACCTGTAGGATGGTGTATGTATTACACAAAAAACTGTTGCACTCCTTGAAGCAGCATATGTTGGGGCTCTTTCTAACATTTAAAAAGAGTTCAGCGGTAAAGGGAGGTAATCAGGCTTTACCTGATAGTAATTGTGTAGCGCTTTGAGCATAAACTTAGTTTGTGGATATAGCGCATTATAAATATGCACATTGTTAAGAATTATTCGCAGACAATGAAATGGCAGCAGGCTTATTTATATAGTGAGCGCCATAGATCGATGAAATTTCATGTCAACGTATCTTTATAATAATGAATGGAATTGAACCATTTTTAGACTGATATTTATATTATTAGAGATTCGTCCTTTACAATATCATAGTTTGCAAGTGACGATAAAGCGCTAAAAGGATGTAGTGAGATGTTAATCATTATTTGAAAGTTGTATTTTTTAACCAGAGAAAGAGAGAGAGATAGAGAGAGAGAGATAGAGAGAGATAGAGAGAGAGAGAGAGCGATAGAGAGAGAGAAATGAGGTTTAACTGCCACTGGACATAAACTAGGTCATTTCGGGACTAACATATGGTTTAATTTTATTTCAATAATTCGCTTGCGCGTAGGGGTCTTTAGCAGTGGGAGAAAACTAGAGGACTCTGACAGGCGACCCTACGCAATGTCACGTACAACTGGGGAATCGAAACCACGCCAGTTGACTCAATGACAGACTTTATGATACAGCGCACACATGCTAACCATTCAGCCATCCAACCCCCCTATTTTTAACGAAGTACAAAATCTATTTTGTAATGTTATAAGTAGAGACGGAGAAAATGATGTCTCGGTGAGTAAGGTGTTGGCTCAACAACTGGGAGGTCTCACTATTTCATAATATAAATCGTTAATAATAAGTCGAGTCTGCAACAGAAAAATCCCATGTTTTACTAAAAAAGAAAACTTACAGTTACTGGCCATATCGATATATAATCTTGAACCAATGCATCATTAAAATCTCGTCCAATAACTTGTTTAACATGACAGATTGAATTATTAGCATTTCGTATAATTCCTTGTTTTGCAGCAGCTCCCACAGACTGGAAAGAAAATCATAATTATTAGAATCATTAGAAGGAAATCTCAAACTTAATTCAAATCAGCCATATTCGTGGTTTTTTTTTTATTCTTGTCAAGAGAGAGGGAGAAATGGGGTTTAACATCCACTCGACACAAACCAGATCATTTCGGGAATAACACACGGTTCAATTTTATTTCAATAATTTGCTTGCGTGTTGGGGTCTTTTGCAGTGGGAGGAACTCCGAGAAAACCCACGAGGTTGGACAGGCGACCCTACTCCTTGTCACGTACAACCGGGAAATTGAAACCACGCCATCTGGCTCAATGACAGACCTTATGATATAATGCACACACGCACTAACCTTTCTGCCGTCCAAGCCCCCCTGTTCTTGTCAAACACTGATTTATCTTCTTTGAAGGACGACAGTTTCATAAAATACAAACCATAAAAAAATGTTTTTAACTGCTTCCAATTCAAATTTTGTGTCCAGTTTCTTGGAGAAAAATGACTTAAAAATCAAAAATACTTGCTTGCATTTCTAAAAACCTTTTTGTTCCAAATTTTCAAATTTTGAAATTAGAGTCACATGGCATCTTATTTATCATGGACCCTGAAGATCTAAAAATAAATAAATTTTAAATTACCTGTTCATAGTCTGTAAAAGCTACAACACATGGTGTTACTCGATCTCCTAAATCATTAGCTATAACATCAGTTTGTCCTTCCTATAATAAAATTATAATTAATCAGTTAAAACACAGATTCTATTTCGTGTTGTGTTTTTATAGTTCAAAATATTGTTTTATTTGTCCTCACTTCTGGTTGATGTAAGGGATTAGCCAATCAAATGGTCTGTTAGTAGAGCGGGTAGACCTTCATGGTGATAGTTAAATTTCAAAATTATAATACCCATCACTATTGAATACACAAACCTAACAATAGTGACTCAATGACAATCTTATGATGCAGCGCGTACACGCTAACCTTTCGACCATCCAACCCCCCTCATTCAATAGTCTCTCTATAACACCTACATGTACTTAATGACTAATGTCTGAATACTAATTACATGTAAATACTAACTAATAAAAATTATCTCCCTTTATAAAAGATATTTGTTCAAAAGTCATGGTTTAATCAGTAATGTTGTAATTAATGGTTTCAACATGATAAGTAAACAACAGGCACAAATAATTGCTACTTATGAATGATAGAATGATGACTGTTAAAATCTCAATATATATATCAATGTCCTTAGTTTTTATTTGATCATATATTTTTGATAAACATTTTACTTCATCAATGACTACATGGACGATCTTTCCACAAAAATGTGAACCCAGTCAGTTTGGGTTCTTTCTGCTTTGGACCTAATTTTGTTTCCTTTATGAATATTATGTCAATTTTGGATTTAATAACAGGGTGGTTCAATTCTGTCAAACATGGTCCGAGACCATTGAATATACATAAGTTTTTAGATTATTTTGATTGGAGAGGTTTAATTCTTATTAATGAGCCAGTTAGAGAATTTGTTAGTATTTTTTTTGGACCCACGGTGGCTAGTTTGTTAAGACACTGGCTCGCTAGCCTGGAGGTCGGGTGTTCGATCCCTGCATTGGCCGAGAGAGTTCATCTGTATTTTCCGACGTGGTTTCCCCTTGTCAGTGGTGCAGAACGGAGGGCCTGACAAGGACAGCTGTCTAGTCCTTCGGATGACACGAAAAACAGAGGTTCCGTTTATACATTGGAATGCACGTACATGTAAAAGATCCCTAGGCGGTTGGAATTCGATATAAGAGTAGGCGATAGTGCCGCTGCCCGGGCAAAATTTCCTTCATAGCACTCTGTATGGCATATGCCCGTCTTCATTAGCCCAGTATAGGAGCAGAACAGTAGGACGTTAAACCCCATTTCAATTCATTTCATTTCTTACTTATTTTGTCATTGGCTGGTATAAATGGGTTATTTACGTCCATTTCTGTTACCTTAGGTAAAACAAAGACAAATGATTTATGTCTAGCTCAGATTACCTGATCAGATTAGAGGGGTGTGAAGTACCTAATTAGGGATGTGTTACTAGTTAATCACCACTAATCTATGTAGCCATCTTCAAAGAGAATTGAACTGGATGAGATGAATAGTTGGAAAAATGTTCACATGATTATGTTATGATGAATTGTTATTTTTGTCAAATGATTGTTATTTCTATCAAAGGTAAAGGTAAGCAATATTTGCTAAAATATATTGTTTTTCATTAAATTATTAATGTTTGGTCGTTATGACTATTTTTGGGGCAGGTATAACCAAACTGTTTGTCTGTTATGACCAAAGTCGGGCCATTTGGACCAAAATCAATTTTGGACGTTATGGCTTAGGGCCGTTATGACCACATACATGGGCATACAGCGCCAGTGCCCGTAATTTTCAATTTAAAATTATGAGTAATAATGCGACAAAGTGGAGTCTAATGATAACAGAAAAGTAATTAATTAAATTCTGATTATCAAATACCAGACTAGGAATGTTCTTTGTTCTAATATAAAGCATATATAAGATAGAAAATCAATGAGTCGGATTATGTGGGCTAATTCCCATATTAACGGACGGGTGGGGTGGGACTGAAATTCTTGAAAAAATCAACTTTTTTAACTGGTTTTCTTTGCCCGAATTTAATGGCCAAGACTTTCAAAATAACTTCCTGTGAATCATAAATTTTTATGTTATCGATATGATTGACCGATTTATAGTTCTTGTAGTTAAAATACCTTGTAAACGGCAAGGCAAGCAGAACACGTGCCGAAATGTATTCCGAACGCCGCCATTTTCTTGTAGTTTGACGCGAATCCCTTCTTTCCGGTATTTCATTTCCGGTCTACCCAATGACGCGTCCAGTCTATAAATAAACTCAAAACAGCCAATCAGATCTCGCCAACTGTACACTTATTTAGGAAACCACGTTTTATATCAAAACGACACACTAGGATAAGCCGGCCTCTGATACACGCAGTGAAAATACCGATTTTATGACTGAAACTAAACAAAAACTACGTAGAATTTTTGGTGTTTTTGAAATTTAACATATTTGTTAAGATTTCTTCTTGATTATTTGACAATAATTTGTTGAATCTATTTGATAAATAAGTTTGTAAAATGAAGAATTACTTGACAGCGTGTTGTGTTTTGGTCGTGGTGTATTTCAACTCGGCATCAGCTGCTTTGAAAGGCGACGACTGCGAAGGTGAGTACTTTCTCGGGTTTATTTTTTATTGTCACAAATTTTACCTTTGGGGGTTCGTGGAAAACAGAATCAACCTTATTCTTTTCTAAATATCCTTTTTTGTTACGTACGACCCTCATCCGCATACATGTGTTAAATTAAATTGCTTGAAAAATCAAAAAACCCACACTGTACCAGGGGGTTGTTCACAAAAATAAAATTTTAAAATTTAATGAATTAGAAGAAATGCGATAAATAAAGCTATTTCACATAAAGAAAGGCGTAATTGAAAAAAATAGAAAAAACGGTGGTCGTACGTCTTCAGAATGGTGATAGTCTGCCATTTGACGTCATGAGTTAAAACTTAATAAAACCTCTTATAGTTATAGGCCCAAGGCGAAGGGCGACACTATACAAAATCTTTGAAAGGCTAAAAATAAAATCTTATAGTAAATAGAGTTTATAGCTCAAAGTTCCATTTAAATTATCCATAATATTCAAAATTAAAAACATGAATTAGATCGAGTTTAATCTTGGACCGCGTATCAACCAATAGTGATGATGTTATAATTTGCCGTGAAAATATTGGCTCTGCTAGATAATCAGTAGATCATCTTGAACTTTTTAAAAATCAGTTTCCGATGTCAGTTTACATGATCGCATCTTGTAATAAACAAAGCAAAACATCCAACAAGTCAATAAACTATAACACATACTTGTACTTGCTTGAAAACGTTGAGAGAATACTCTTCGAAACGTCGCTCAAATAAATCAGTAATTGTTCTTCCATAAGTATGTGTTATAGTTTATTGCTCTATCCAGTTACTAAATGCCTCTAAAAGATCATCCAACAAGTTAATGAAGAAGTAATTAATTGGCTTTTCCACAAACAGCAAAAAGTTAAATTTAAAGATTATTTGACAAACACAACCACCATTTTATTTTTTGACTTCTCACATATTTCACCGAAGTGATAAGGCTTAGAATAAAACATTTAGGATGTAAATCAGTTTATACATTCACTTTGCATTACCGTAATTATAATATGTGTTTTTCAACCCATTTTTGTCTATTTTAAGATTCCAGTTCCAAAGAATGGGGCTAGGCCTATACCTTTTAAGTGAATTGGGGGGGGGGGGGTCGAATGGTTAGCATGTGCACGCTGTATCATAAGGTCTGTCATTGAGTCAACTGGGGTGGTTTCAATTCCATAGTTGTAGGGGTCGTCTGTCGAACCTTGTGGGTTTTCTATGGGTCCTCCGGTTTCCTTTCACTGCTAAAGAAATAAAATTGAACCATGTGTTAGTCCCAAAAATTTGCTGGTTTGCGTAGAGTGGACGTTAAACTCCATTTCTCTCTCTCTTTAATTATAAAAGTGAATGATTGAATGGCAAATTGAACGATTATCTCCATAATACAATGTTGTTATGTAGTCGTGTGCTGATTTAAAAGTGTTCATTGATTGAAATGGACCAATTTTGAATTCTGATTCATGTTTTGAATTACATGGGTCTGAATAATAATGAATGAATTACTATTAGAGGTTTAACTCCCTTAAAAAGGTTATGGGAACTACTTGTCAAATAGGGATTTTTTTTGGTCACAGAGCTAGGAGCACATGTAGGGAATGCTTGATTGTCAGTCTGGAACGTTCCGACTTAACCGGATTGCAATCGAGTGACACGGAATTCACTTCTGTAAAGGTTCTGTCAGTCCCGACAACTGAGGTGGTGTGAGTAGAATCGTGACGTAATTAAACACAACGAATATGTTTCAGCTGTCATGGTTGGTTGAGATATTTTCTTATGCAGTAACGCATGCGTTCTAGCCCTGAATCCCCATTGTCACTCGATTGTAACTATTTTTGGGTTTGACAATTAAATTCTGAACGTTCAATCGAGCATCCCCGTAATAAGAGAGAGAGAAATGGAGTTTAACGTCCACTCGACACAAACTAGGTCATTTCGGGACAAACATATGGTTTAATTTTATTTCAATAATTCGCTTGCGCATAGGGGTCTTTAGTAGTGGGAGGAAACCGGAGGACCCGGAGAAAACCCACGAGGTTGGACAGGCGACCCTACTCCTTGTCACATACAACCGGGGATTCGAAACCACACCAGTTGACTCAATGACAGGCCTTATGATACAGCATGCACGTGCTAACCATTCGGCCATCCAACCCCCGATGATGTGTAAGACTTTAATAGAAATGTAAACATTATTTTATTTATCCTTTCAGTCTGCCTGAAAACAGTGAAGAAATTTAAAGATGAATATGAAACAAAATTAGCCAGCAAAAATCCATCCATTGATGACATCGAAAATCTTTTCCGAAAGTTCTGTAAAAACCTGAAAGGCAAAGAAGAAAGATTTGTAAGTTTTTTAGCCGTTTTGTTTTTAAGACAATATTTTATTCTGATTTGTATGGTTGTTGCTCATTAAAAATCAGTCAGGCGATCACGTGGCTAAGGCTAAGTGGGTAAGACGCTTGCTCGCTAGCCTGGAGGTCGGGTGTTCGATCCCTGCATTGGCCGAGAAAGTTCATTCCGATTTTCCGGCGTGGTTCCCCCTTGTCAGTGATGCAGGACGGAGGGCCTAACAAAGACAGCTGTCTAGTCATTCGGATGGGACCAAAAACCGAGGTCCCGTGTACACATCGGCGTGCATATAAAAGATCCCTTGGCAGTTGGAATTCGATATAAGAGTAGGCCGTAGCGCCGCTGCCCGGGCAAAATTTCCCTCATAGCACACTGTATGGTGTATGCTCATCTACATTAGCCCAGTCGGTGCAGAGCAGTAGGACGTTAAACTTCGTTTCATTTTATTTCATTTCATTTCTATTTCAGTGTTATTATCTGGGTGGTGTAGAGACGTCAGCGACTGGAATACTCAATAAGATATCGGGTCCCGTTAAAAATCATCTACCTGCTGATTTAATCTGTGAACGATTGAAGAAAGCAGACAGTCAGATTTGTGAGCTGAAATACGGTAAGTTTACAGGGTTTATATTTTTTCATGTCATCAATTCTTCCAGGTTATTCGATCCCTGCATTGGCCGAGAAAGTTCATCCAGATTTTCAGATGTGGTTCCTCCTTGTCAGTGATGCAGGCAAGAGGGCCTGACAAGAACAGCTGTCTAGTCATTCGGATGGGACGAAAAACCTAGGTTCTGTGTACACATTAGCGTGCACGTAAAAGATCCCTTGAGAGTTGGAATTCAATGTGAGAGTAGGCCGTAGTGCCGCTGTCCTGGCAAAATTTCCCACATAGCACACTGTATGGCGTATATACCCTTCATTATCCCAGTCGGTGCAGAATATTTGGACGTTAAAAACATTTCATTTCCATTGATTGTTTTTTTCCAGAAAAAACTGTTGATTTCTTGACGGTGAATTTGAATAAATTGAAAGTAAAGGAATTAAAGAAGATTCTGGATGTTTGGGGAGAATACAACGCATGTAAAGGATGTGCCGAAAAATCGGACTTTGTGAAAAAAATCGAAGAACTTTTACCTAAATACGAACCAGAGGCCGCGAAAGCCCGGAAAGAGAAAAGTGAATTATAACAATTTAAAGATTAGGTTAATTTATCAGCTGTCTGTTCAAGTTAAGAATGATTGAGTTTCGTTTGTTTGTTTGTTTGTTTGAGAACTTGTTGGTTTTTTTTTTTGAATGTAAATATATATATACCGTATAGATAAAGATTTCATATACATGTGTATCCTTAATTCAACCCTCGAACCGTCTGTTACGTCTTTATCATCTGGTACGTATTTGATCATAAGGTCTGTCTTGGAGTCCAATTACATGGTTTGGATTCCTCTCTTGTACATTACAAGGAATAGGGTCGCCTGTCCAACCTTGTTGGTTTTCACTACATGCAGGTCTTCTGGTTTCCTCCCACCGACAAGAACCCGACCACTTAAGCCTATTATAGAAATACAGTTGAATCGTATAAATCAATGGCTGTTATCTTGCCTCAGACGTTTGGAGGGTTAAACAGTTGCTTCATTCATATTACTACTCGGGAAGGGGGCGGGGAATGGTCAACGCCTGCACATTAGACCATGAGGTTTGTAATTGAGTCAACTAGCGTGGTTTCGATTCCCCTCTTGTAAGTGACAAGAAGTTTGGGCCTCTGTCCAACCTCGTGCGTTTTCTCTGAATTATTGAAATGAAATTAAACCATATGTTAGTCTTAAAATTACCTAGTTTGTGTCAAATGGATGTTAAAGGGACAATAACACTCTTGCTGGCTTGACAGCTCCAGAAAATAAATAATAGCCCTATTCTAAGTACTAGATGTTTAAGTGGCCTACCTATTGTGTAAATTATCCATTACATCCTATTTTACTTGTCCAGAGGGTTCGAAAATATTTTTAAATCCAAGTCACATTTGAAAAGGTTTACATTAGGCTTTTCAAATCTTTTAGTTGAATTTTTCCAATTTTTTAAATTAGGTGTGTTAAGATGAAATTTATATCACCAATTAATTGGAATATTGTAATATAGTCAAATTTGTTGACCAGAATAAAGATTTGGACATATTATTCAGTTACAACAAGAGTGGTATTGAGCCTTTAAACCCCATTACTGTCCCCGGGTCCTGAAAATCAGTG